CAATCATCTTTCTCCTCGGAATTTTGAAAGTAATGATGCGTTGTTGTTAGATAGCAAGTTCGAATGATTCGACTTTTCGGACTAAACCGATCTTTCGAAGATCTGTAACTTTATCTTTTATGATTTGACTCTAATTTCTTCTTTTGCTTGGCCGGATTATACCGCGGGTCAATATTGAGCATATAAAACTTTTCCTTCGGTGGTACACCTGCTATGTTAGCATGGAGGCAAGCAAAGCAATTTTTGTTAGCATGTAAAAGTTTAATCACCTTACCTTTAAATTCGGTGTCGAGTCTCGACCAACGTAAACTTTCCTATTTGGGAAGTTAATGATAATTTCTAGTTCTTCAGCATTTGACCTCGTGGCTTCTGATGCCTTCGATTCAATGATTGCTTCCGAAAATATTTGTATAATTGTCCAAGGTTATTAATGAACCTTCCTTCCTCGTTCTATTCCATCCCGCAGCTATCTCTTCTTTTTCAGTTGTTAGGTGTGGTATCTTTGTAAGCAATCTCGTGGGTGTTTTACCCATGTTCTTCCTAATCTTCATTCTTCTCCTGTGAAATTTTACAATTTAGCAAGGTAATTCCTTACCTGTTCGGATAGATCCGGATCTTTTTCAGCCTGTGAAGAAAATCTCGTATCTCTTTTGCTCGGACCTATTTTTAGATTTTTGCGTTTAAATTTGGATCACCCAAGAATCACATCCGCTTGATCTCCGGACCTGTTTTTGACTTTTAATTGAATGAACGTGTCTTCCTCTATTCAAAGTTTGGTATTATATCGAATTTAAATTTTACTCCTCAGTTCCGGGAAGGTCCGACATTATTCTTCTGACTCCTTCAATCATATCCGGAATCACCTCGGTTTGGTTTTCGAACCTGTTTTTCGACACTTATTAGTGTCGATTCGACTTACCGTGTCTTCTTCTGTTTAAATTTCGATGCTGCAACGATTATGCATATCATTCTCACAGGATAGATAGGAATTCCCGAAGGTGTTCTATCCGATCGTTCTATTCTTTGATCTGTTTCTGTAAGGTTAGAACTAAATTTTGCAAATTAAAATTACCTAGTGTATCTGAACCTCCTGTTCCGGAACTGTTTCGTACAGATCCGTTATAATCAGTTCTGGTACAAATAGTTGTGGTACCAATATATCGATGTACATTCTCTATTTTTCTCTGCTTGTTACTTACATATCATTATCATGGCTATTCTTCCCTTTTTATTTTGCATGGTACGCTATCTCCAACTTGGTTGTCCTCAACTGTGTTGATTGGTAAATTTCGACCATGATGAAGGTTTAAACTGAAAACAAGCGAATATTAACAAAAAATGTTACTATCTTTGGATGAATAGCAAATTTGCTTGAGTTCCCGGTAACGGAACCAAACTGTTTAACCCAAAAAATGGTTTTCAAGGTTAAAGCAATAATTTTATATGACGGGCCACAAGCAACCGATTCAATCCGAAAGATATAAAATTTTGTTAATACAACGTGATAGAGAAGTGGAAAATAAATTCAATGACAGATAATATAATAAAAATAAAGCAGAGAAGAAAGAATTCTTATTGAATGATCCTTGATAGGATAATGAGCCGAACAGAGCTTGAAGAGCCGAATTATGGCTAACTTGGGAGCAAGATGCTATCAATTACAATGTATAGAATTGTAGAGAAGAAAATTAGATTTCGCTGATGGTGGTAAAAATATTTCTATTTATAGGGCTAAATCTAAGTAACTAGTCTCCTTGAATTTTGGGTTCATTAGGAGCATTTACTCAATCCATCCATTACTTTTGGAAAATTTGTAACAGCTGTGTAAATGCTGAAATTCTGTAACTGATGAGTTAATTTCATAACTGATGAGTTAATTCCGTAATTAATGAGTCAATCTTGTGCCTGTTAAGTCAATCTCGTGCCTGTTGAGTCAATCTCGTGCCTGATTGCCTTGTTCTGACCGTTACAATCATTTATTGCATTTATTAATAATTGATTTGTAACTGATGGTGTAATGATGGTAAATCCCATATAATCCGAGATTAATTTATTCCTTCCTCATTTGTAATTATGAGATACTCTCCCGCGCCTGATCTAAGCTATTTCATGATGATCAGTTCCGGGACTAATAGGCACGGTATGAGTATGTTCGGTCCCGGGGGTGTTTCACATATCATCTTTACATTTCATTCTTCACTTTTCTTCAAACTTTACTAACACGTGTCACCATTTAATAGACCCACATGGCGAGGCTAATTTTTACTAATACAAGGATCACAACTTAGCTTGAGTTGTATTATTTGCTTTCGACAGTAGCTAAAAGGGTCTGATTGCAACTAGTTCAGAGCTAATTAAATCTTATAAGCATGGTCTCTAAGTTTCAAGCAAAATCTAAAGCCGGGTATCCTTATAATAAGAAAATATACATCAGTTAACCTATAAAAGTTATTTCTTTACAAGAGAGCATATGAGCCTTTCATCCATGTTAACTAATCAGAAATCGACAAGAAGCGTCCCAAATACTTAATCAAATAACAGAAAATTAAGAGCTCATTGCCAATTAGATGCTGAAATATTAAAACACTAAAAATTCCAAAAACGAAACAAAAAGAAAGATACCGACCTTTTGCGGGGCAGTGAGCTAAGAGCGTCGTCGATCAACTATCGCACTTCGACCTCAAACTCACTACCTCGGCTGAGCAAAAGACAAGAGCCTCTGCTTGGAAATTGCAAACCAAATAGAGAAAGAGTTGGTCGAGCTATGATTTCAAAAAAATTAGTGAGTTTCGGAAAAGGAGGAGGCTCCCACCATTTTGAGGGGTAAAGGTGCGGCTAAAAACCCTGTTCAGATGGACTCCAAGTGCTGGTTTTTATAGGTGAAAATCTAGGGTTCTTGACTTGGGCGAGATTTTGAAATTCAGATCTTTAATTTCGGTCAATATATCCGTTTGAATTTGGACATTGGGGATTTGAACGGTAAAATAGTCGTTCATCATTTAATGAGCGAGATTTGAGCAAATTTGTTTCAGATTTGCATGAGACTTTGAGCAGATTTATTTCAAATTAATACCCAAAATGGTTGGGATGTGCTCTTGTGCGTAGGGGTGTTCACGGTTCGGTTTGATCGGTTTTTGATTAAAACCAAAACCAAATCAATTTAATCGGTTTTTAAAATTTTATTACCAAAACCAAACCAAATTAAATACAAACCATCAGTTTGGTTATCATTGGTTTTGTTCGGTTTGGTTCGATTTTTCGGTTCGTAGTAAGCTAATAATAAGTCGATAATAGTGAAACAACACTAGACAATAATCTGAAAATAATTTACTAAATTTATACTTTTTTATATATTTCTTTCGGAACTTAAAGTTTATTTACCTCTTTATATAAAAAGAATGAACAAAAATATAACTAAAAGTTTGCTTTCTCAAGCTTTAGCCACTGTAGTCCTGCAATTTGAGTTTGCTTTCTTTACTCTTATGGTAGGATTTTTTTAACTCTTCTATTAGGCAAAAGTATGTGCGGAGGGTTAGAGAATTAAAGTCTCTTAAGGAAAAGAAAATTGGTTGATTCCTATTGTTTTGGGCTTAGACAATCTTTTAAGATATAAGTAGGATAAACCAAAATTCAAAATAACAATTAAATTACATAAAATATTTAAAATTATTAGAAAAAGATATTATATTGTATATAAATAATTATTAAATTTTGTATATAATTAATCGGTTTGGTTCGGTTTAATTTTCGATTTTTTATAATAGAACCAAAACCAAACCAAATATTATCGGTTTTTAAAATTTAAAACCAAAACCAATCCAAATCAAAAAAAATATCGGTTTACTTAATCGATTTGGTTTGGTTTTTGGTTTGGATCGATTTTCCGTCAAACCGTGAACAACCCTACTTGTACACAGGGATTTGAAAGTTAAGAATTGGCCAAAAAATGGAGGAAAAGTCAAGATGAGAGAAAAAGGAGGTAAGGATTGAAAAGGATGGAAAGGGAAGGTGGACGTTTATTTTCTTGGTGAAAGAAAATATCTTTTGACTTTTTGTGAAAAAGTGAAGAAGAGGACAAAGGTGTAGGTATGATATTAAATAGATGTTGATAAAAAAAGCAAAGTAATAACAATATTATTTACGGTACTACTAATAGAAGTAAACGTAGTAATAATAATACTAATACTAATACTAATAATAATAACAACAACAATAACAACAATAATAATAATTAGTAGTAGTAGTAGTAGCAGCAACAATAGTATTAGTATAATGAAATTGTAACACTAATAATTTCATGATAAAATAATAATACTTGTAGACACCGGATTTTTGACCCTCCCCGAGAATTTTCACATTTTTAGCGTGAATATGTGAAATTGGGTCTAATATAGCCATTTTAACTATTTTTACTGTATTTCGTTGCAAAAAGAAAAATTACAAAAATATATATAATAAATTTTAGTTTATGTATTTCTTATAAACTTGAAAAAATACAAAAATTGTACTTTATTTTGGTACTTTATATAAATTCGAAAATTACAAAAAAATATAATTCTATTAATATTTTATAGTCATTTTAATTTTGGAAAAATAAAAAAAAAATATATTACTTTATATTTTATCTTTATTAAAAAACGAAAATTACAAAAAAATAGTTTTATTAATATTTTTGTAGCTATTTTAATCTTGAAAAATATTAAAAAAGATATAGTTTCGTTTTAAATATTAGTCTTATTTTTGGTAGTTATTAGTTAAGCAACGTCGTGTTCTTATTCTCGGATCCGGGCAAAAGAATAATATTCAGGTTCAAACTATCCGGTTTTAGGCTTAATTTTCGGACCTAGCCCACAATAATCCGAGTCCACCACACGTGGGAGACACGCGTGGGGAACACGAACGGAACACCGTACACGGGGAACCCCACCGCGCATGGGGGACATGAATCTTGGACCCCTACACACGTAGGGTCCATTGTCTTGGCCAAAGCTACAAAGG